GGGGATGACTTACTGAAAGGGACATTTTGAAAGTCCTACCCTGAGGGTTAAAGTTCTTTATCTACATACAACCCACTGTTGGAATTTGTTGCTAATTTCTGTAGCAGTGGATTTTTAACCTTTATCTTCCCATCAACATCCTGTATAAAGATACATAGTAAAGAGAAGAATGGTTGGCAGAGGCTAGCAGAGTTTAAAACATTTGGAGAGACAAATCTCTATGGTTACTACTTTAAAAAAAAATTGTTTCTCTATTTTGGCCATAGATACAAATGGCCGAACTCAATCTTCTTTAGGAAACCAGTAAGTCAGTAGTTGCCCTGACAGGAAAAAATCTCTATTCCTGTGGGGCAAGTGTGCAGGAGAACACGCTACACCTTGTGAAGGCTAGCGACCTGATACAGCCAGAAACGGATGTTAAGTGTGGAGGGTGTACGGTGGAGAGGTGGAAACTGTAAAGGAAGGGCTGGCCCTAAGAATAGTCTGAACCATCAGATCAAGATAACAATGCCTTTTCTCTTGCAGGATTGTACCAAAAGCTTTAGAAGATACACTGAGTTCTCTCCCATTGTAGAAGGAAAAGCAAGGAGGCCCGTGACTGCCCAATTTCCAGGCCACAGCAACCATGGGCAGCTCTCTCGAACACCCAGAGCACGATGAGAACAGCACCCCCCCCCGCCACAGCCTCAATGAAAAGAGCTGAGAAGTTACTAGTGAAAAGCTTATTATCTTCCTTTCTGAAACAGATGGTTTTCCAGAGTCCCAGGGACAGACTGCTCAGTACAACCATATCTAAATTGGTCAAACCTTTGTTAAAAGTCCCCTCTAAGGACAGCACATTCCTCAGGACTCAATCTTCCCCAAAGGACCAGGAATAGCTTAGAAACAGTTCCTTTAGACATGGTAAACCTGGATTTGTGCTTTCTGGTACCACAATCTTAAATGTCTTCTTTACTGCAAGGATGGGCATAAGGAAATCAGCACCAAGGTAGCCATGAAGTAACTGTTATTCGCCCTCTACCCGCAGCCACTGTACACATTCCAGAATGACAGTGGTGAGCCCCCAAAGGAAGTAGCTACACTTCAGGGATAATGGCCTCTTCTCTAAAGAAAAGAAGTCAAAGTTCTTATCTCTTAAATTAAAATCCATGCCACAATTCTGATTTTAAAAAAAAAGGGCTTCTGTGCTCTCCTTTGCTTTCAGGACAAAGTCCAAACTCCCCTGAAACTAATAATAAAGAGGCCCTTCCCAGTCCGGCTCTGCATACTTCCTCAGCCTCAGCTCTTTCCACTCGGCCCTGCCAACCCCTCCCCTCCAGCCAGAAATACCTGAAGCTCTCCCAATGCTGCCCGCTCTTCTCTTGCAGTCTCCCCACTTATGTGTGCCTTGGCTCTACATTCTACTGCCCCTTTCCAGACTTATTACTGTTTAATTCAACCAGCACTTCAAATCTTAATTTAGGCATCACCTTCACTACAAAACTGTCTGATAGCAGCCAGGGCACTCCATCTATGGCTCTTCCAAAGTGTTCCTCCACCAGACCATGCCCGGTACATAATAGGTAGTCAGTGTTTACTGACTGCCTTCCTACAGACTTACACAGCACCCAGCATCGCTGATGAGGTAATATTTAGGTGACTGGCTCAATGAAGGTAGAAAATAAACACACATTTGAATTCTTAGTCCAGAGGTCTGGTCATCCTTTAACTCACAATGCGTTTTCTTCCAACTAGCTACATGACTTGCCCTTGCGAAAAAGAATAAAACCCAACTTTTGAGATGCAAGGATATTAGGTTGCCAGCACTTTATAATAATACCAGTACAATCCTATTTACGTACCATGGGCCTTCCACTAGGACTCAGTTAGCTCATCACCAACAAGATGGACTAGCCTTTTTCCCACCTCAATAACAAGTGAATATAAAGCTTCAAACCATCAAAAGTTGAGCGAACTGTTGATCTGACTTTTGGGGGGAACACCAAGATGTCTTTCAATTATAACATTTTTTATTTGTCTCATGAAGTGCTTAATACAAGGGACACAATTTAGAATTTGAATCAATATTAACTCAATTTTATATTTATGCTTTCATTTCTCCCAAAGGCAGCATATTTTTAAAGCAGCATTTCCTTGGTGGAATGTAATTTGTATTACTTGAATTGTCCTTTGATTGGGAATATGACTCCTTGGGAGTAAACAGGTGAAAGAACAATTTTATATTTGATTAAGTGTTCACATACTAAAAGCAAAAAGCAACCTATTTACAGAATATTTGAGGTGTTTTTCAAAGTCATCTTTCCCTCAATGACACAATACCACTTGATATTGAGTATTCTGAACATATTCAGGAAACAATGACTGGACATATACATATAAAAGAAATTCTAGCATGATGTCAAATGTTTTTTTGTGCGTGTGGTGTAGGAGGGCAGGGGTCACCAAAAGCCTCTAGTTTCAAGGATTGGAAATGCCTCCAGATTATTATATAAAATTTAAATGTTCACTTTAAGAATTATTCAACTTCCATTTGCCAGTCTTCTGGCCAACCACGTTTGGTTCTCTGTGCAAGGGATGGGGTATTTAACACTCACTACTAGATAACAGCTGGGAAACAGGATAACCTGAAGCTAAGACTTTTACATACTCAATTGGCTACATCTGAAAGACATGTATAGTCAGTTGGCTTTCTAGTGATGTGGACATAGTTTTTCATCAAAAGTGCATATTTACAAGACCCTTTGTGAAATCTGAAAAGGGAATTAAATTCAACAGAGCTTTCAAATATAAGCCCAAAGCAAACATATTAAAAATGAAAGTTAATGCTCAAACCCCACATCTTCCATGGGTGCCCAGGTAGGGAGGCAGAAAAATGCAAAGACAAAGAACCCAGCTTTGGAGTCAGGCAGGCTTGGGGTCAAGTCCCAGCTTCCTACTTACTATCTGTGTGACCTTGACTTGACAGGTTCCTCCCTAAACCTCAAGTCTCCTTGTTTATAAAAAGCAAACAATGTTCTATAGGCTATTTCAATGGCTCAATTAAGTAAGACATCTGTAAGAGAACCTGCATTTTGGCAGTTACTGCTTATTACATCATGTCAATGAGGCAAGGTCTGGGTTCCATCTCTGTACCTGGCAATTTTAAAGGTTTTACTAAAGGATAGCTAAAAGAATACTGGACAAGCACCAGAAAGATCCAAGTTAAATCCTACAACTCTGGGACTTACTTAACTATAAAATGGGGACTAGGTTAGCTCACTTTTAAGTTGGCACACCCACTTTGAAAAATTAATCCTCAATTTCTGAATCCTACATTCGTGTTCATTTTCTTACTTTTTAACACAGAAAACTCACATCCCTTCAGAACAGATGAGGAAAAACAACGAAAGGCAAAAGATAATCAAGAAACCTATCATCTGAGTCACATTCAAATTGTAGGCCAAGCTTTTTTGCAGGGAGCATCATGAGGGGAGCTAAGTGATCTTCTCACATATATTAGTGGTAGAAAACAAACGCATCTACCAGAAATTCTGCATTCTCTGGCACAAGGTCACTGCCCAGAACACTGCCTAGCACATACCTGACACTCAAAAACACGTTGGCTGAATACCTGGGTGACACCTGTTGCTCCCTATAAATTTTTTAAATCGTTCTCCTCACCAAGTCAAAATGCCCCCCCCCAAAAGGACCCAAAAAAGATGGCCTGCACATATGAGTGGTACCAAATACCTTGTGAACGAATTACTTTTTCAAATCCTCAATTATGCTGAGTGGAAAAACACAAACACCGCGAGAGAATGCTGAACCACCGGAAAAAACTTCATAGCCAAGTTTCAACATTCCCACAGAGATACGCCCACCGCTGCCAGGATCAATTTCTCCGCCTCTTCCAGCGCTGACGAGCACCCTCCACCGCGCACGGGGAAGAAAACCTCAGCTCCCGTTCTACCCTGGTACTCGGCACTCCACGCCCTCCTCCCAACACAGAAACCTTTAAGGTGGACGTCACTTGACCCAGGGCTGAACAGACAGAGCCAAAAACACATGTCCCGATCTTCACAAGGGTCACCACAGAACCACAAACTGAAAAGACCAAATCACGAACCTAACGGAACTGGTGTTTCGACTTGGGATAAACTATTTGCCTACGAGCTTTTGGAGACACACACAAACACCGAGACTTTACTTTCCAAAAGCAAAGTCGAACGGCCCATTTCGCCACTTCCCTCCCACGAATGCGGCTTAACATATCACACCCCTCCCCAGCTCGACCCGGGCAAATACACTCCGAGACCCTCCTCCGTGGCTCAGATAGTTGGGTGGGTCCCAGGGGAGAGGGGCTGCCCGCTGGGCTTTCGGGGGTTCTGGTGGAGTCCCGGGGAGACCCGCCTGCAACGGGCTCTGAGTAAAACCGAAAGGGGAAAAAAAATCCAGATTTGCCCACGGTGGCGGATGGCGTAAAGCTGTGGGGGATTTCAGCAGAAAGTTGAGAGGCTCAGACACGATTCCATTTCCCCTCCTGCCCTCCGCTGGCTGCTCCTGCTCTCCTCCAGAGCCGGGCTAGCAGCCCCGGTCCACGCACCCTCCGACCCCTCATGGTGTGTCGCTCCTCATCAGAGCGCACGAACTTTAAAATGGTGCCCCGGGCGGGGTGTGGGGGGGGGCGACAGGAGAGGAAGAATCAAAAGGACCCGACCAGAGAGCGGGCGCGGGGGCCATAAAACGAGGTCCTGGGTGGCGGGTGGGGCACCCAGGGTGACGCGCATATCGTGGGGTGGGAAGGGGGAAGGAGGCGCACTGGGTAAAGCTGGAAGGCGAAATGGAACGCGGCCCCTTTAAGAGGCCTTCACGGCGCTCAGGGACCGGGGACCTCTCCTCCACCCCCAGACCGGCGTGTAAGGATCTTCTTTGGGGAAAACCATTCTCAGACCCGCTCCCCGAAGGCTTCCCTCACGCCAGATCCCACCCGGCACTACCCTGCGGCGGCAGCTCCTCCTTACCCCGCTGTCTGCCGCCTCCTCCCAGTTCTCAGCGACCTCCTCATCTTCCATCTTACTCGCCGCTTTCCCTCCTCCCACCACCCCACCCAGCGCCTGCGCCCTGAAGCGCGCTTCCGTCGCGGGCGCAGGCACGCAACTTTACTCATGAACCACGCCCCCTGCCAAGCCCAGAAAACGCTCAAGGCCAGGGATCACGATCGTCGAGGAAGCCATCTTGGAAAGGGGCAGAGAAACCAGAGTTGCCATTTTTTTTAATGGTAGCGTGTTATCTTTTGTATTGAACGGGGAGTCCAAGTGAAACCGTCGTCTTGAGAACAGGAAGTGTGTTGTTTGGAACCATTTTTGCTAAGGGCAGGCAGTTACTTTCTTTTTTAATTTTTCTTTTTTTAAGTGAATCGTAGTTTTCGTAAACTGCAGATTATGGTTTCTTTCCCAAAATTATGAAAACATTTTTGTATCTCAACAAAGGATGAAAAATACCTGCTGGTGCACATTTTATTATTTCTATTCTATAGAATGAAAATAATTACAGTATTTCCTGCTCATAAAGCAGTATTCCAAACTCTATTAATACTACTTTATATCTTCTACGTTACTTGTAGGTAATTTTGCACCTGAGCTGGACAACCAGAACTTCTAAAGTTATTCTGCATCTTTAATGACTGATACATACAGTAGCATTACCTTGAAAACTTTTTTTTGCATTTTCCTAAACAGTTTCTCTCCCCCTCACCGCCCATACTGAAGTGGAGACTTTGGACTTTAAAGTTCAACTTCGCACACTTCCAAGTTAAACAATCTGTGTCGTCTTAACACAAATTACTACAAGGATTTCTGTATCTCAGTTTTCCCAAGTGTAAGAAATAAAGATGGTAATAACAGTAGCTGTTTCAAAGGTAGATTGTAAGGATTAAATGAGTTACTGTGCTGAGAGCTTAGGACAGTGCCTGACTCATAGTAAGAGTTCTAAGTGTTAGCTGTTATCATTATAGAAGACATAATTCTCACCTCTCTAATCCTTTTTTTTCCAGAACACAAAAGCAGAGGAAAAAGCAAACACCGTGTGTTTTTATTCTTGCTGACATGTTCCTATAGACCTCAGTGTTAAAAGCATGTCATTCAGTAGTGTTGCATTTGGCTGCTATAATCAAGTTATCTGACTTGGAATGTTTTTTCTTACGTCTTTACTGTGCCATTAATGATTCTAAAATAACAGCTTCCAGTTGAGAAATTTTGCAATTTGTATTACTAATGATTATTATAAGTTGCAGTCATGTGTTAAACGTCACTAGTCTTTACTTAGAAGTTAAAGTGACATGCTTACTAATTTTCTGGTTTCATGACTTCCTGTTTCTGCAATATCCATTATCTCTGGGTCTCTCCTCAGTCCACTGTTTTTACCTAGATACTCTTAGACAGTTCATATAGCTAGGTTTATTATTGGTATCTCCACGTGGGTATTCCAATAGCATTTCAAATTCTTTCTATATATAAAATACAATTAGTACTGATAATGGCTGACTAATTTCCAAGATAAAGGATTATGTCTTGCTTGTTCTCTGGAAATATATTTCCTCTTAATACATTCTCCTGTGAACCCACTCTTTTAAATGAGTTATCCTGACTGAGCCTGAATAACAGCAAGGTGGATGAGACTATCAGGCATCACCTAAATCTTGTTGAAGGATTAATTTGTTTTTCACATAAGTAACCGACTCCTCGTAGTTTTAGGTTTTGTAGGTATGGCATATTACCAGCAGAGGGAGATAGTGTCTTACACTTTTGTTATATTTGGCAATGAGCCTTAACAAAGGAATTGGTTGGGCATTCCTGAGACTGGATTTTCTAGATCAGAAAGGTAAGAGATCTTGGAAATCATTTGAGGATGCTGCAAAGGAAATAGCTTTTGTTCCACCAAAAAGGCAATCAGGAGGCCAGCCCTAGTTAATCATATGGGCCCCTGGTGATCTTGGGCAAGTCCCTTCCTCGTCTGTAAAATGAGGGGGTTGGATCAAATAAGCTCTAAAATTGAGGAAGTGGTGGCAGTTTCTTCCTCTAAGGGGAAAGCCCAAAAAGTTGAGGCAGTGTCATATATGGGTAATGGAGAGACTCTAAAGCAGAGCTGCCCTTTCTTGTGAAACATATTTGATACACCATTCATGTTTTGGAACCACAGACTTGCACTCAAAACTACAGGCACCTTTGATATACCACATAAAACACTCTGGCATGTGATGGTGTGGATAAAATGAAGGTTCCTGTGGCCAGGATTCTCACCTGGCCCTGGTTGGCTAGCTCACTACACATGTGTGGGCAATACATTGTTATTGTCTCTATCTAAAGAGCCCCGCCCAGTGCTCTGGGTGACACAGTGGCAGGGCTGCAAGGCTGCAGGGGAGCTGAGGCTGGAGTGGTGGCAGCGCCGAGGATGCAGCGCCGAGGACAGAGGCCCAGAGGATAGCTGTGTGAGCCAAGAGGTCCAGAGGCAGAGATCGGCTTGCTGCTTACAGACTGTCTCTGAATGGATGGGATTTTAGTGATTGACCTGCCACCATGGAAATAAAGTTGGGTATAACCCTTTCACCCCAAGAACGTTCTACTGTCAATACTTTGGTTACAATGAGTCCATAGTGAACTTGCCCAGGGCTGAAACCCACTGGGAAGATGGATGGGAATATCAGAGCAAAGCGCATAGTGAGACAACTTCCCATATGATGCACAAGCTGAGGCTATATAGACATTTTTGTTTAGAAATACATGACCCATGTAATCACAATGTTGCTCATGTGAAACCTTCATAAGATTGTATATCAATACCTTAATTAAAAAAATACATGGCATAGTACTGCATAGGGTATACAGTCAATAATATTGCGATATATTTGTATGGTGACAGAAGGTAACTACACTTACACTGGTGAGCATTTAATAATGCATATAATTGTTGAATCACTGTTATACAGCTGAAACAAATATAATATTGTACTATAATATAATAAAAGAAGTTTTAAAGAAGTGGCAACTTACCAATACTTCAAATGTACATGCCTTTTGACCCAGCAATTGCATTTCTAGGAAATTTCCCTGTAGATATATTTGCTCACATGCAAATAACAAAAGTACAAGGACATTCATTGCCGCTTTATGATCACAAAAGAATGGAAACAAATGTCCATCACTAGAGGGTTTGTTTAAAAAATATTTGGTACATCCATACAAAGGAATAGTATGGAATTTGTTAACAAAGTTTAAATGGTCCTAAAGATGCTGACATCAGACGACCTTAAAGAACTATAGTAAGTTTTAAAAAAAGCAAGAAACAGAGCAGCGTGTATAGTTTATTGCTATTTGTAGTTTTATTATACGTGTATCCTTGTGTTTGTATATGCATCTGGTGAAAGATGTAAGGGACTTGTAACAGTAGCCATCTTGGTGGAGGAGAGAGGTTTACCAGGTAGCTTATGATAGGCTACTTAATTTTTATTATATGTCCTTTGTACCTTTTGAATATTATTCTCTGTTATGAATGTTAACCTACGTGCACAGCTTATTCTAAGTAAGTACATACATAAGAAGTGGATTTCAGTAATTGATTGGGATGGACTCTGGAGAAAAACTTTTCGTTTACACTTACTAGAGAGGTGATAGCCATCCCTCTCATTTGAGCCTCATCTCTTGTCCCCTCATCTCCAGTCATGTCCCAATCATGTCCCGCACTGCAGAGAGATTATTCTAAAATGCCATTTTCATCACATATCCTCCTTGCCCCCAAATCTCCATGATCTAGGAGATAATATCCAGTTTTTTTTCCAAAATTCAGACTATAACATAAACTAGCTTCAATCTTGTCCACCTCCTGCCTCCTGTTTCTCTGAAGCAACATTGTGTAGAGTTCATAGGCTTCGAAGTAAGACCACCTGGGTTCAAACCCTGCCTGCGACCATGGATTGAACTACTTAAACTCTGTGTGCCTCAGTTGGATCATCTGCAAACTAAGCACAATAATAGTACCTACTTAGCAGTGTTGGGCACATAGTAAGAGTACACAATAAACACCAACTGTGATTCCTATGACATATTTTGCTTTAATAAAAATATATTTATAAATTTTTAAATTGCTTACCACAATTTATACTTTTATATTGACTGACTTACTTGTTTATTGTCTGTCTCTCCCAGTAGACTATAGAGGCCCTTTGTGAGGGCAAGGACTTTATTAGTTTTATTTAAAAATATATTACCATACATATCACATGGGTTGGCACATAGTAGGTATTCACTAAATATTTGACTGACTGTCCTCTTAGTTGTCAAATTTCCAGTTCATTCATTCATTCAACAAATATCCAGTGAGTCCCTACTGTGTGCCAGTCTCTATATTAGTTGATAAAGCAGTGAGCGTAACAGACAAAAAAAATCCGTGCTCTCTTTAAGCTGGAGATCCAGGGGTGGAGTGGTTCCATACTTGAACCTGTTCCAACACCATCCAACAGTTACAACACTAACTGGGCATCAGAATTCCCAGGGAACTTTGAAGAAGTCTGAAGCAGGGTCTAAGGTGGGCCCTGGAAGCTGCATTTTAAAAAGGAAGTACTTAATAGCTGGTCCAGTGTTTCTTACATTGAGGTCCATAGGTTATTTGGTGGGGGGAGGAAGAGATTGGTCCCAAGTTCGACAATTTTTAAGCTTGGGGATTTAATGACACAATTTTAATATATCCTTTACCAGCTGTAATTGCCAAGTTTCTCTTCTGCGGTGACATTTCTCTGAAAGACTTGAATTTCTTAAATCAATGTTTCTCATATTGAGATTCCATGAGTGCATTCCCAAGGATCTTTGCATTATTCAAGTTTGAGGAACACAGATCTAGTGCTTTCTAAAGCAAGGCTAATCCAAATCTGCTCAATAGTGCCTTGCTCACTCGGACCTATATCCTAAGAGATATCCCAGAAGGTCCATTTTATCCCAGGGTGGTGGGTTGGTAGCTCAAGGTTACTTCAGTTTTGAGTGCCAGAGGTGAAGACTGAGCCCCGGGGCTCTGTATCTCTGGCATTTCCTTAGACCACATGAGGTGCCATGAAGGGGTCTAAAAGGTGGTCACAGACCAAGGTTGCTCCCTTGGAAGGGGATTTTACTGGAATTCACCGCCTGGTGGTAAGTGATAACATAAAGTACAGCAGCTTGGGAACCAGGCAGTCTTGAGTTCAAATGTAGTCCCGCCCTGCCGTCCTCCCCATGTGTGGCCTCGGGAAAATGAGTGCTACCTCTCTGTGCCTCAGTTTCCACATCTGAGAAGTGGAGCCAGTAACAAGTTACACAGCGGTTGCTTCAGTTAAGGGAGGCTTCACTTGCACAACCAAGGCACTGAGTTCCCTCCTGAGTTGGCATCCAAGAGCACTTCCATCTGCAACTGCTCTCCGCTGTGCTCAACCGGGCCCCCAGGGGGTACAAATGAGTTAATTCCCGGTCAAACGCCTGTCATAGTCTCACATCCCTGGGAAAACCGCTCAAGTTGCCCCAGACAGTGCAAAGGAGGGTGGGTGCAGATCTGAGGTCGGCTCTAGGTACCTAAGGACGGCGGGCGCGGAAGCGCGACGTTTCTTAGCTTCACTCACCCAGACCAGCGTTCCAGCTTCTGGAGAACCTCTGCGCGGAGCCACGTCCCTTCCCAACATGGCGCCGCCCCAAGGCCGCCTCGCGCGGACCCGCCGCGCTTAAGTGTGCGCGCGGCCTCCGCGCCGAGATCCGGCGCATGCGCACTCAGCGCTGTCGTCTCCGGGGCCAGAGCAGCAGGGGCCGCGGCGTTTGAGTGGAGGAAGATGGCGTCTCCGTGAGGCTCGGGGTCCCGCCAGCTGTGAGGGGCCCCGAGTGCGGCAAGTGCGGCCTGAGGCGGAGCGCCTCTGGCCCTGCCCTGTCTTCGGCTCCCTCATCGCTGTCGCCAGCGGAGCGAACCTGAGAGCGTGGCGCGGGCTGGGCCAGGTGAGGCCTCTCCTCCTCCCGGGACCGCGGCGGGGAGCCAGCGCATCCTGCCCTTTATGCCCGGGGCTCGCAGGGGGCAGTGGGCGCCCCGGGTTCGGCGCAGGCCCTGCACCCCGCCCGGCGGTCGGTGCCGGCAGACGTGGGGGCCTTGCGGTCATCATCCTTGGCCTTCCTGCATTAGGCAAGGAGGAGGAGAGCCACTTTCCAGCCAGCCCTTAGGATGGAAGTCATTTTGGCCCCTCTCCTCAAGCAGGGCGGTTCTCAGTGGGGCCCCGAAAGGGTGTATGACCAGGATAAGGGTGACTGTGAGGGTGTAATATAATCTTTCACCCCACCCCGGAGTCTTTAACGCCTTGCGAGGGAGCTGGAGTCTGGTGCCCTCCAAAATTGGGACTGCGGCGAGGGGCAGCATCTCGGAAGCTGCAAAGGAAAGATTTTGGAATTAGCTTAAAAAATAAAACACAAGCAGCCTTTCCTGCCCCTTAGCTTTTTGAGCGTTCCCCTAGCGAAGTGGGAACTGAGGGTCTCCTTGATTGAGACAGCGAATCCACGTTGTGACTGTGGATGGCTTCTGGTGAGAGTTGTTTGTGCAAAGGGAACGGGGGAGGGTGGGGACGAATTTGCAAACGAAGGAGAAACAACTCAGATCTTGATGGTCTCTGCAGAGTAACTTCGGAGCTAAGGAAGCCCTCGTTCGTTTGAAATCTTTGTTTGGATTGTTAAGATTCGGAATTGCTGTTTTCTATGAAATCTCCCGAATTTTATTAGTAAAATAAAAGCCTCGTTTCTTAATCGCCAGAATTTTTGGACTTTTTTGGGGGGGCATTCTGATAGTTTTGGATGAAGATTCAGACACATATTACCAGTTCTCATTTGCTGGCGGGGACATTGTAGTAGGTTTGTCACTCTTTTTTGAAAACAACTTGTTGTTCAGATGCTAATTTGGAGACTTTGATTTAGTTTCTATCACGTGGGGAAGCCGGTTTGAAGGCTTGTGATCTCTTCCTTGAGAAATGATGGCTTCAGCTGAAATCGTGCTATGGGGAATTGTTGAGGCCTATGGCTTTGGCTTGGATATGCCAAATACCTTTTATGACTTAAATTTGTTTTGTTTGTGCCTAAGAGTGATGACATCGATTTAAAGGGACAAGGAAAATTTGAGAGGAAATACTGTCTTTAGAATTGAAGGTTTAAATTTCAGTCTGTAGCTTTTATACAGAATAGTGATGCTCTCTCAGATTCCTAACTTTGAGATACTGTGAGTAGGTGCCCTTTCTCTTGGATGTTGTCATCTTAGACCCTGCAACTTCGCTTTTGACAAGTCCAGTATAAATACAGTACTCAGTGTACATTTGACCCACCGGTGTTTTGTCTTTGAAAGTTTTTAATTGCTAAAATGACAACCGTTTAGTTTATTATTAGCAAATTCTTTGACCATTTTCCCCTTAAATCCTTTTCCATAGAGAGTTGTAGATTTTCTTAGGGATATAAACCCAAACCAACAACTTCTCCTTGTACAAAATTGAAGAGCCACTCTACATTTCAGTTTGCTAAGAGAGTCATGAAATGAATGCAGTAAAACATCCTGGTGGCTTGACACTATGCTTCTTGGCATAATGTGTTGCATTGTTGTGCTAAATCATCATCAGGTATTGATGCAGCTTCATGACACCCATGACATCATTCACTCTCCAGCATTCTGCCTTTAGCAATTCCTTGCCTTCGCCTTCTCATAATCACAAAAAGAACAGATCAGGAAAAATAGCTTAGGATGCTTCTTAATGTCTGATTTCTGGAAGAGTCTTCATCTAACACTGCTTTATGTAGTTAAAACCCTTCTGTAAGATTCAGAGCTGTTTGATTCCTTACTATTATGAAGTGAAGCCTGGAAAATGCTAGCAAAACCTCTGGGTTATACAAGAATATTGAGGTTCCAAGGAGAAGTAATCCCAAAGATGGATAAATATGTGATTATCTTTGTGATTTCAGGGTTGTTTCAGTCGGTTAACAACGCCTTATAAAACCAAAAACTACTTGGTTAAATAATATCCTTTCCACTTCACAAGATTGTTGTGTGGATCAAAGGAGGTAATGTTTGTGAAAGCACTTTGTAAAAATGATTGTTCAATAAATCAGTTTTATGAAAACAACTACTGAGGGTCGTCTGTGTGCTGGGCATTTTGGGAAGTAGGTCCTAATGATTCTAAGATAAGACAGCTTTTGGTCTCAAGCTGCCTGCAGCCTGGTTGGAGAGCCAGACAAGGGAACCAGTTAAGTATATTACAGTGTGAGAAGTGCCCAGAATCCAACCAAGGGAGTCAGGAAAGGCTACTCAGAGCAGAATGGCTTTCCCCAACCCCAACCTTTCCTGTTCTGCAGAAAAATCTGCCTTCTGTGAGTGACTTGCTTTTTATAAAAACTTACAAAAAAAATTTATCTTGAGTTCTTTTCCCCTTTTATTCATTCACTGTCATTGACACTTCCCACACAGTATGCCCCAGTTATGGTTTCTGCATTCTAAAAAACCCAGCAGAATCTTGAGAGAACCTTTCTGAGAGTGAGTCATATGTGCAGGCAACAAACACAGGCATTACAGCTACAATTAAAATATCTCAGATTACTAAATGGTGACAACTTTAGAGTGATGATGTTTTGCTTTTTTGTTTTGTACACTGACACAGCAGCGCTGTATGATTTTAATTTGGTTACATTTAATTAATGTTTGCTTGTCAGTCCCTTAGAGTGTTGACTGTAAGTGGTTATTCGTACTGCCTCCGTTCTCCCAGTGATAAAATGCGAAGGTCCTTTCCTTTTTTTGTGAAGCTGACAGTTTAAGCCAGAGCTACACTATTTTATAGAATCTATGTGGACTGAGATTGTTTATCAATGAATAGTTGAATAAAAAAAAATCTATGTGAATTGAGATGGCTTAGCATCTCTGATACTGAATTTCTGTATCCCAATAGAAGTTCCTCACCTTTTATAATTACCTACATTTTGCCTACATTGCAAGAATTTTAATGAGTTTTTGGGTTGAATAGAATCTTTAAGTAATGCAGTATTGTTTTAGTTGAACAGGCACAATCTGTATCTTAACTGAAAACGAGTGTTTTAAGGTTGTGGTTGACAAAAGTGAAGGTGGTGTTCATTTTTCTGTATGGTGGCTGTTTGTTACACCTGAAAGGATGACCTATAGAGAAATCATTTAAAAATTGCCCAGTATTAAGCTCAATACAGCTAATTTTTAAGATTGTTTCTTGTAACAGTCTTCTAAATGTTTTGTGAAATTATGATTTAGTGGTACTCGTATAGCTTAATTTGCATTTTCTTACTTATGCGTGTATTAGGAAGCAAATTTGCTTTGAATTCTGGTTCTTCCCATATTAAATTTCTATCTTTTAATTTGTTTTCTAAGTTTAATTTATTTAATAAGTTTTTATTTAGTTCTTTCCAGTGTTGCTGTTTGGTGTTTTGCTTCAAAGATGGAAGTATCTTTGGTGCTTTGATGCTTGTAGACACACACACACACACACACACACACACACACACACACATACTATAAATGTATGGGCATTATGTAAAGCAGTAGTTACTTGTAAAATTTACTACTCAGGATGGTTACTTAGTTTAGATAATAACTTATTTTCTCTTGTCTTCTAATATATTTGAGTATTTGATTTAAATTCTATAAAGGCAAACGTGTTAGCTACAATATTCCCTTCAAAATTTAGTATTTAGGATACTTTTATTTAAACTGTTTTAAGGAATTTACTAGTATGGCATACTCTTCCAAATTTGTGTTTTCTTTTTTGGAGAAAGATTGATGTTGATTGTGAATTCGTTAGTGCAGTTTTACTAAATGTTGCCTCTCCCGTCTGCTGGCTTTTCAGATGGAAGTCAAGGGAAAATGGAGTTTATCCTTTTGTTTCAGTTCAGTTGATCCTTAAACAATGTGGAGTTAGGGGGACCCACCCCCTTGCAGTTGAAAATCCACGTGTAAATTTTAATTCCCCCAAAATTTATCTACTAATAGCCTACTGTTGACTGGAAATCTAGTAATAACATGAACAATTGATCAAGACATTTTGTATTATGTATTATGTATATACTATATTGTTACAATAAAGTGAACTAGAAAGAAGAAAATGTTTCTTCACATTGTCTCAAATCTTTAAAAGATTTTCCAATATAGTAATTGAAAAAAAAGATTGCATATAAGTGGACCCGCACAGTTCAAACCTGTGTTGTTCAGGGGTAAACTTGTATTTCTTTCTAAAGCATTTTTACTCGTAGTCTTGCTGTCTTTTGCAGAAAAGAACAAAGTCTTGTTTAGAATCAAGCAGCGTTGTGTTTGCAGTATGTTCTTTTGGACTGCTTTCTTAGCTTTTGCTTTAAGGAACTTAATAACATCTAATAACATCTTTCCAACTACATCCATTGGTTTAGTCAAGATCAAGCAAGCTGCTCCCTTCTTATTGAATCTAAAGGTTTATTTTCCTGCATGTCCTTCATTTCAAATTTTGGTTTGTGGATCTTCTTCACCTCTTCCCTTTTTTCTCAGTAAATGCAGTTTCCTCTTCCAAAAGTGTGTTTCATAAATGGTAATGGAACTTTGGGGATGTAATCCCCAGAGATGCAGAATGACGGGTGGGTTAGAATTTCACATTTTGTTTAACTTAAAGGTAACTTAATGGTAAGAAATCTTGACATTATGCTAGGTGAAACAATACACAAAAGAGCAATAGTGAATGATTACACTTACTTGTACCTAGAGTAGTCTGATTCATAGACAAAATAAAATAGTAATTGCCAGGGACTGGGGAAAGGAGGAGATGGGGAGTTACTGGTTAATGGGTGTGGAGTTTCAGTTTGGGATGATAGCAGAGTTCTGGAGGTGGATGGTGGTGATGGTTGCACACCAACATGAACATACTTAATGCTACTGAATCGCACATTTTATGAATATATTACCACACCCACAAACAAGACAACTTATGCTC